CACCAAGTGAAAAAGCATAGAGGGAGAAGAGAAGAGGGCCTTGGACAGAACCTTGGGGAACACTTATGGTTAGTAGGTGTGATCTGATTGAAAATTCAGCAAAGGAGACTAGAATGACAAGTAGGAAGAGAACCAAGAGAGAATGGTGTCATGAAAACCTAGAGAGAAGAGAGAATCAAGGAGAAGAGGTCGATTTATAATGTCAGAGGTTTCAGAGAGTCTAAAAAAGATGGGGATTGAGAAAAGACCATTGGATTTGGTAATTAAGATATCACTGGTAACTTTGAAGAAAACGGTTGCAGTTGAATGATGAGGTCAGAAGCCAAATTGCAGAAATTTAAGAAGATAACAAGAGGAGAGGAAATAAATGCTCCAATTTTAGAGTCTTCTTAAGGAGTTTACTTATAAAAGGGAGGAGAGATATAGAATGATAGCTAGTAGGGATGGATGGATCACATGAAGGTTTTTTGGAAGATGGGGGAGACATGGACATCTTTGTAGGCAGTAGGGAAGCAGTCAGGGAGAGATTGAAGATGACTAGATTATGGATGCCAGAGGCATCAATCTCCTGGAGAGAATGAGATGGAATGAGATCACATGCATGTAGAGGGGTTAGTCTTGGTAAGGAGAAGGGCTAAGCTTCACAAGAGATAAGTGTGAAGGAGGTGGCAGAAGACTTCTGAATAATGTCAGATAGATAGATAGAAGAGGGAGATCTTAGAGAATGGCCTCAATATTTTCAGTTAGGTAAATTATCAGCTGAGAGGGTGGAGGGAGGAGGAGCCATAGGAGGTTTGAGGAGGTATGAAAAGATTTGGAAAATCTACTCTGAGACTGACAGTGAATGTGTAAGGATGTGTAAAGTGGTTGTCTTGTTGTGGTAAAGGACCAGTTAGGACAGTTTATGTGACATAGATGTATAGTGGACCCAGTTAGCACAGTTTCTTGATTTTCTCCAGTTTTATTCAGCAGCATGTAAACAGGAGAGAATGGTGGGAGTAATCCATGGCTGAGTCTTGGAAGGTCAAGATTGGTGATAGAGTCGGGGCAACGGACTTGAAAGAAAAGGATAGGATAGAATTTGTACTGTTTCACCAAGAGGTCAAAATGGGGGAAGAAAGTGAAACCAGTTAAGAGGTGATGACAAGGGAATGAACCAAGGAATGTAGGGATTGGAGGTGTCAGTGAGAATGAAGAATTGGGTTTGAAGTTGCAAGGTAGAGGAAAGTGTAATCACAATAGACTGTCATCACAAAAGGGAATTTCAAAGTACATGAAGGTGGAAGTGGCAGGAAGGAAGGAAACAAGTATTTATTAAGCACCTACTGCGTGCCGGATACTGTGCTAAGCACTTTGCAAATGTTATCTCATTTGATCCTCGAAACAACACTAGGAGGTAGAACACTTGATCTAAGGTATGACCATCTATCTCTATGTATAGGTGAGGTGGGATGGAGGAGTAGGTAGTGGGAAATGAGTAAGTTGAGGAATTTGGAGGTTAGGGTGTTTGAGGAAGTAATCCACTCCCACTTGGGGAGGTGAGAAAGACTATGAGTCATGCACTGAATTCACTGAGGAAAGGATTTGGTAGGTAATGGCTACCAGAATCTTAACAGGATGGTAAATATGGATTGAGTGAACCTCAAAAGAGAGATTTCTTAGTGATACAGGTAGTAGGAAAGCCTGGAAATGGCAATGGAGAACAAGCGGTATTCTAGGGACTGTAAGTACAAAAAGATGGAAGGACTGGGAAAGGAAAAGGTTTAAGACAAAGCAACTTTGCTACCTGTGGAGCAGACATTCCAATGAACACAGACTAGAAGGGGTGGGTAGCTTTAGAGTGGGACTTTGTAGGTCTGGGGTGAGGGGAATGGGAACAAGGGAGAGAGCAGTAGTGGGGGGATGGAGAATGGAATTTGATCTTATAAGTTCGAGAGGTCTTTGGTCCTTGGTCTTTTCAGTCAGTAAAGCTGACTAAAAGGGGCGGGGAGGGGAAGGCTGTTGGATAGGATGGGCCCCAACCCTGGCCTGGATGCGTAGAACTTGGAACTGTTTGGACAGTGCAGGACCTAGGTGAAATATGGAATCACTTCTGGTGGTCCCACAAACCAGTGTTCCAGTGCTTATGACTCAACCTCCTAGAAAATTGTAATAATATGTGTAAATTAATTGACTAGCTAAGTCTTGTTGATGTGAACTGAGTCTTCTTGTCCTAATTATTTTTTTTCTGTGTAGGAAATAAATACCTTTCCCAAACCTGAGCCTCATGTGTTCTGTAAGCTCATTTGAAACTAAATTTTTCCTCTGAGTAGAGAACTGGTTTTCCTTGTCCTCCTTCTGTGCCCTCCTGCCTTTCCTAGCAGTTCCTTTTATTTGGTTTGGGAAAGGCCCTTTTAATGTGTGAAGCAGTAAGTAACCTCTGATAAGCTCTGTAAAATGTCACTTGTTTGTTGAATTTCCATAGCTTTGTGTCTGGGGATGATTGCAATTTTCAAGCCTTCCCAGAAACCAAAGAACTTTCCAGAATTAGGGATATGGACAAATATGCCCAATATGCCAAATTCATCCAAGCTGATTGGCTAAGGACAGAAACCATTTAACTGGGATAAGAATAAAACCGGAGTATAAATGGTCATTACCAAAGTTGTCCTTCCTGATTCCAGCCAGGTGTGGTTTCTGAACACTTCAGAGCTTTGAGGATAACAAAGCATCTCTTCCCCTGAACAAGATGCAGCCAGAGAGTTCTTCATCCTAAACATCATCAGAATGTGAACTCCTCAGAGGAGGACTATCTTACTTTTCTATTTGTATTTGAAGCAATTATCAGTGTTTTGCACACAAGAAGCACTCAATAAATGCATTATTCATTCATTCATTCATTCATTTCATTTAAAAGTGTGAAAGTGCCAACAAAGTATCTAGAAGTAGGAAAGGTAGCTTTTCCTATTCTCCCCATCCAAGCCTCACATATACAGAACAAAACAAAACAGCTTATGTTTTGGGCTGATGCTTTTTTTTTTAAATCTCAGTTCAACTAAACAAATACTTTGTAAATAGCTTCTATGGACAAGGCACTTGACAAGCTCCTTGAAGGTTGTGAAAGTTTCATTTTTATCTTTATAGATCCAGGACCACCACAAAGCCTTACACACAGAAGGCACTTAATAAATATCTGTTGAATTGAACAAATCACTCCCTTTGAAGCTGGTCATACAAGTATTATCACCCCCATTTAGCAGGTGAGGTAACTGAGGGTGAAAGATTTATCTATGGTCACATAGTTTGTGTGTTTCAAGGATTATTGTTCTACTTTTGCCCTCTTAAAGAAACAAAAAAAAGTCTATTTCCTCCTCGTGTGTGATGACAAACCTTAAAATAAAAATAAAAAATGAAATGTCTCAAAATTATAAAGTCCAAGCCCCAAAAGATATGAGGTGACACCTACCTGGGCTCTTTTGCGGAAGTGTGGGGGTCTACCAATGTAAAACATTGTATGTAATGTGGGGTTTGTGTGTGTGTGTGTGTGTGTGTGTGTGTGTGTGTGTGTTCATTGGTTTTGCAATTTTTTTTCTCTTCTTTTTAAAGGAGTCTTTGTTTTGAGGGAAAACTCTGAGAGAGGAGAAGGAGGGATGGGAGAAAGGTAGGTGATGTGAAAACAAAAGGTAGCAATAAGATTCATTTTTAAAAACTAAAATAACCTTCCTATCTTCCCTTAGTCTTTTCTAGTACTTCAAGCCATCTTCTCTTACAGCTGGACCAGAAACTATGCCCTGATGCCTTAACCCTTTCAGTTCCAGAATTCCTGCCCTGCTGGGGGGTACTTTACTGATTGGTGGGTACCTTGACTAGCCCACCACCTTACCCAGGTCCCAGCCATGCTTTACTTCAACTATCCTCTCCCCATTCCCCATCCCTCAGCTAATTTGCTACTACTTGGGTGTCAAGTCCTCCTTTCCCCTGCCTCCCCTACCCTACTTTCCAGTTCTGGAACCATAATCAAATCAATATTGCCATCATTGCTGCAAAACGTGTTTCAAGATACTCCCCTGTGGTTCCACTTGCCATCCCTGTAACTCTCCAAACCAAAACAGTCCTGTCTGGCCAACATTTCCTTATATATTTCATCTCCCTGTACTAGATTAATAGGAACTACTCTGGAGGCAGGAATGTCTTCATTTTGTATTTCTATCCCCAGTGCTTAGCACAGTGCTTGCGCATAGTAAGAGCTTAATAAATGTTTTCTCATGCATTCATTCATTACTTGATCCAGTATGAGAAGATGTCCATATCTTTCACCATAACAGTGCTGACACTTGAGCATTCTCTAGTATGTCAACAGTCTTTTGATAAAAGGTGACCATCAAAACTGAACTCTTCTCCCATATTACCTCAGCATATCACTTAACCTCTTTGCACCTATTCTCTCATCTGTAAAATGAGGATTTGGAATCAATTCTTCCCAGCTCTATATCTCTCATCCCGGGATAAGAGGCCATGAGAGGTCTGACCAGGACAGAATTTAGTGGAACCTTCCCCCACTGAGAGAGACCGTAGTTCCATGAACCAGATGAAAGACGTGTGAGGGTTTTTTAGCAGGCAACATCTGTGGGTTCCTATGCTCCCGAGAGAATGGAAACCATCGAATTTCTAGAAACCAGAAAGCTTGTGAGTTTGCCCAGGCCTCCATATGTCCTCTCCTGGCTCAGTGTATCTGTCTAATAGGGGGGAGAGATATCAGCACAGGAACAATATGTGACACTGAGGTTTAGGGACCACATTGCCCCAGAAGGAGCAGGGACTACAGACCTGAAGCCTGAGCAAAGAACCAGCTGATTTCCCCCTTTCTTCAGAGCACGGCCAGGATCTAATATGCACAACTGAAAATGAAAGGGGAAAAGAGGTGAGCCCATTCCCATCATCTGGGGAGAAGGGTAAGTAGAGGGGTCACTTTGCAGTTTGCTCTCGTTCCAGTGGTCGGTTCAGTGAGTGATTCCCAGTTTCCCCAAAGGCTGCCCCTCATTAGCATGAACGGGGGTGGAGAATTGAGGGAGGAAAGCAAAGGCTGAAAGCTCAGCTTTAGAGGCTGCCAAAGTGGTCTTCACAATGCCATCAGAGAGAGCTTTCTGGCTTCTCTGTCTGCTCATTGGATCATCCTCAGAAACCCCAGTGACAGAGAGAAAAGGTAAGAAGGGTGAAATGCAGAGAACTCTTGAGACAGAGGGAGAGAGAAGCAAGGAATTGGGAGGAGGTGAAGGAAGGGCAGGCTCACTTCAGGCTTGTGTTCCCCTGAGAATTAAGCCCAGCCTGTGTCCAGAGTGTGTTTTCCCCTGGCAGCCTCTTAGGAGAGAGATGCTCATTCTAGGCTTGCCACTACGATGATCTGAAGAGAGAGCAGTGGGGAGAGCTAGAGGAAAGGCTGCATGTTAAGTAGCTGCTCCATCAGCAGAGAGCCAGCAGCCTGATGTATCAAAAGGGATTGCTGAGTGCCTGCCTCTCGGGACCTTTGCACAGGCTAGGCGCACAGAATGCAAACCGCAGGACTGGCATTCCAGGCGGGTCTCGGTGGCCCTGTGGGAGCTGTCCGGAATTGTCTCTCCGCTAAGCTCCCAGGCTCTGACTTTGGTGGGGAGTGTTTTAATGTGCCTGGAGAAGGGGATTCTATGCCTGAACCTTCAAGGAAGCCTCCTGAGAAGTGTCTGCAGTTGCAGGCTGAAGCTGGTGCACCCTACCAAGGGAAAGTGGAGAGTAATCCCTCTAAAAGTCTGCAGAAGGCAGGAGCAAGGGTTAAGTAGGGTGGGAGGGGAGCAGAGTCAGGAGAGATCTGAAAACATCTTCACTCTTCCCGTTGGTCTCAGAGAAGACCCGAGGCACAAAGAGATGGGTCCATCTCTCCTTAAAATCACATTTCATGGATGAGATGAAAATATGGGATGGAGGCAATAAAGGCAGACAGAGGCAGTCTCTGGGGGGAAGGTGTTTTTGTTTTCCTTTGGATGTTTCCTTTGATTCGCTGTCTCCTGGAAAAATAGCTCCTGTAACTGCACAGAGTAATTTACTTTAGATTATTTTTCCACATGGAAATTGAATGAGTTCAGGGGCATTTAACCCAAATATCAATCTTTCTCATGACAACAGATGTTGATAGTTGATAGTAAGGAATTGGATACAGACCAAAGCTTTATTCAGCTGTGCCTGGCACAATATTTAACATACTGAGTCAAAATTGACCCTTTTGGAAAACAGGAACTAGAACTAGTATTATTCTGGGGGAAAGGTGGTTTTAAAGAGATGATCAAGATTGCAAAGGGAAGGTCGCAAAGGGGTCCCGTAGAACCTAACGCTTCAAACTAAAAGGATAAGAATGCAAAAAAAAAAAAGCCAAGAAAAAAGTAATTAAAAGGAAGGGGAAAGAAAGAAAAGGAAGAAAAGGAAGAAAGAGAAAAAGAAGGAAAGATATAGAAAGAAAGAAAGAAATTCTGATGCCTATTAGGTCAGCTTAGTCTCTCAGGTAAATGGGAAGATGAGGTTATATAATCAAGGAAGACAAGGTGATCATCTTCAGAGCTGGCTTGTTGTCTGTTTACCAACATATATTCACGAGGTTTGGTGAAAACCATTAATTTTTTGGTGTTCATATCATCGGAGGCCTTTTTCTCAATTACTAAAGAAAGAGAAAAAAAAATAAAGGGAGAAGAGAGTCTCAGGATAGCCAAGACAAGATTTGTAGGTCTTTTCTGGCTCTACAGTTTATGAATAAGAGAGGCAAAAATCTCAGTAAAGGTCCCTTTGGGGCATGGGGCACTGTGGAGTCCCAAACGACCTTGTCAATAGAGATGGGAAAACCAAATAGCTCTGTTGTCAGGGGTGTTTAAACAATTAGTTTGCTGCCCCCACCAGCAGTAAAAGACTTTTTCCCACCCCCAGCCCTTTGCATTTATTCTTTGAACATTCTGAACAAATTGTCAATAAGTAAAAGACAGATGTTCTAGATGCATAAAAGAAGGGGCCCAAAGCAGTGAGATTTTTCATCAAAAGGGTCAGAAAAGCAACTCTCAGAGATGGAAGACTGGAATAGCCCAATGTTCCTGGTTAAGAGAGGCTGGAAAGTTTCATTTAATGTTTCAACAAACATTTATTAAGCACTTATGTTAGGCACTGAGGGAGATACAACTTTTAGATAAGATGGGGTCCTTGCCCTCATGAAGCTTGCATTCTAAAAAGAAGGAATGAGAACCAAAGACAGCTATATGTATCACACGCAAGACAGACCATAATACACAATATTCAACATGGTAACCACATTAGAGGGTTGGATCAATTGACTTACACTTATTAATTGCAATGGGAAATACGAGGACAAAAAAAATTAAATAGACCCTATCCTTGAAGAGCTTATATTCAATGGGAAGGTGGAATGATGGAAGAGGAACAATAAATGTCATTTGAGGTCTGAGGGAGAAAATGTCATTCCTGACTTGTGTGCACTGAGAGAAAAGGTTGCATGGAGAATGTCCCTTTTACTTTGGCTTTTAATCAGGATATACTTTTGAACAGATTAAAAAGTGAAGGGAGAAAATTCTAGACCTTGATTCATAGGTACTGAGCTAGAAGGGGTCTTAGAGGCCAACTAGTCCAAACCAAGCCCTCCCACCCCCACCCCCACCCCCTGTAATTGAGGAGGAAACTGGAATCAAGGAAAGTTAAGTGACTTAAGTGACTCAAGTTCACACTCAAGGTCACACAGCCAGTGAGCATCAGAGATAGGACTTCTGACTCTAACATCATTGCTCTAACCACTGTACCATGCTCTCTTTTCACCGGGTATCACATAAGCAAAGTATGGAATGAACAATATGTTTTGGGACTGGATAGTGGTCTGGTTTGGACATTCAGGATGACAATAGGGTAGGGTAGTGTCAGTTTGTGGAAGGTTCTCAGTGACCTTATTTCTTGACTTATAAGATGGTGGGGGCCCCTATTTCTCCCTTCACAGCCTCTCGGGGACCCTTGCAGATTTTGTGCTACTATTTCTCTGGGCATAGATTCTTGATTCTCTCTTCTCTCCCCAACTAGAACTTTGGATCTCTCTTTTCTTCCCCAAAGACCTGGCTCTATCTTTTCTCTAGCAGAAATTGAGTTGTCACTCTTTTCCCTCATAGACCTTTAATTCTCTCTTCTCCCTCCACAGACACTTGGCTCCCTCTTTTCTCTGGCACATCTTTCCTTTCTAGCAGACACTTTGGTCTCTGCCTTCTACCTGGATAGACTCTAGGTTCTCATTTCTCTAGAACAGACTTTGGGTTCTTTTCCTTCTCCATACATAGAGTTCTGTATCCTGTCTTCTCCAAAACAGGCTGTTTCTCCCCCTTTCCCGCCCATATTATCCATTCCCTCTCTTCTCTACTATTTACAGTAATTCTCTCCTCTCTCCACAGACTCTCTATTCTTTCTCTGTGCCTCTGTCTATCTCTCTCTCTCTCTCTTCATTTATTAAGCACCTGCTATATGCCAGGCACTGTTCTAAGTGCTGGGGAGACAAAAACAGGCAAAAGACAGTCCCCGCCCTCAAGGACCTCACAGTCTCATACAGCAAATGACATGCAAACAAATATATACAAAGGGAGGCATATTTAGGATAAATAGGAAATAATTAAAAGAGGGAAGGCATTTGAAATAAGAGGAGTTAGAGGACGCTTCCTGTAGAAGGTGGGATTTTAAGTGGGACTTAAAGGAAGCCAAAGAAGTTAGTAGTTGGGAGTTGAAGAGGGACAGTGTTCCAAAGTATGGGGAAAAGCCAGAGAAAATGCCTAGAGTTGAGAGTGTCTGTCTTTCTCTTAGACTGTGAGCTCCTTGAAGGCAGGAACTGGACTGTCTTTTGCCTCTTTTTTTTATCCCCAGGATTTAGCATAGTGCCTGGCACATAGTAGGCACTTCATAAATGTTTATTGTTGATTGATTGATTCTGTACAGATTCCTATTCTTCCCTTCTTCGTCTCATAGAGACTTTCAATTCTCTCTCGTCTTCAGTAAACTTTCTGTTCTCTCCTCTTTCTCCACACAGACTCTTGGTTCTCACTCTGCTCCAGCAGACTCTATTCTCCCTTCTTCCTGAAAAGGCCAGCTGTTTCTCTTTTCTCTGTTCTGTTTTCTACTCTCTGTTCTCCCTTTTCTTCAGTACAGTTTCTTCCTCTCCATGCAGACAGTCTCTATGATCTCTTTCTTCCTCATCACATCATCTTCTATTCGCCATTTGCTACAGCATAGTCTCTATTCTCCCTGCTGTCTGTTCTGCAGAGGTTTTCTGTTCTCTCCTCTCCCTTCAGAAATCCTCTGCTTCTTTTTTTCCTCATCACAGGCTTTGATTTCTCCTCTCCCTGCAGACTTTCTATTCTCTCTCTCCTCCAGGACAGTTCTCCATTCTTTTTCTTCTCCAGCACAGATTCTGTTCTCTCCTCTCCCTTTATAGACCCTTCTATTCTCTTGTCCCCACCCAGCTCAGATTCTGTATTTTCACTTTTCTCTTTTCTCTAGAACCAACTCTCAGGTTCACTCTTCTGCTTGAAGAGATCCTTGTTCTTTCTTTTCTCTAGCACAGATTCTCTGCTGTTCCCTTCTCTCTTCAGAGACCCTCTCTTCTTTTTCTTTTCCAGCATACTCTGTTCTAGATTCTCTTTCTTCTCCAGAAAGACTCTTGATTCTCCTCCAACACAGACTCTCAGTTCTCTCTCTTCTCCAGTAAATCTTCTCTGTTCTCCCCTCTCCCTGAAGAGATCCTCTGTTTTCTTTCTTCTTAAGGCACTCATTCTCTGTTCTTTCTCTTCTCCAGCACAGGACCCTTGGTTTTCTCTCTTCTCTTCTCCAACACCACAGAGTTTCTGTTCTCACTCTTCTCCAGGACAGATTTTCTGTTCTTTCCTCTCCCTTCAGAGAGTCTCTGTTCTTTATTCTCCAGCATAGATCATGTTCTTTCCTTTCCCTGCAAAAACTGTTCTTTTTTTCCCCTGGCAATGATGTTTTCTCCTCTCATTGCAGATACCATCTGTTCCCCTTTCTCCCTGCAGAGATCCTCTATTCTCTCCCTTTTCCAGTACAGAACTTCTGTTATCAATGATGTCTTCTCCAGCACGTTCTCAGTAGTCTCTTCTCCAGCACAGACTCTTGTTTCTCAGTTTTCTCTTCACCAGCACAATCTCTGTTTTTGGTTCTGTCTCCTCTAGCACTGTCTCTCTGTTCTGGGTTGTCTCCTCCATCTCTGCCTCTCTGTTTTCTTAGGCTTCTCTTTTGCAACTCACGTCTCTGGGTTCTCTCTCTTCTCCAAAACTCTCTCTCAGTTTTTGGCCTTCTCCAGCAGTCTCTTGGTTTTCTATCCACCACAAAGTCTTGATTTTCTGTCTTCCCCAGTTTCTAGGTTCTCAGTTATCTTTTCTCCAGTGAAATCTCTAGGTTCTCTGTTCCCTCTTCTCCGTCACAGTCTCTGGTTTCTTTCTCTGAAGATTCGCTCTCATACCCAATTGAGAAGACCTGGGGTCAGGGCACCCTGGGAGCCCGCGCTCCTGGGTCGTGGAGGGACAAGTGGAGAAAGGCCAGCCTCCGGCCTCGGATGGAGAACAGCACAGGCGCTCGCAAGGCAGCCCTGGAACTGGGAAGCCCGTGGCCACCTCGTGGAGCCGCCGTGCCACTGGACAATAGCGTGAACAAACGGCGCCCGTCCGGGCGGGTGACTTGGCCCATGCTCTCGTACCCGCTGGCTCAGGGGCCTGCTCTCTCTGGCCCTGGGCCCAAGTGGGTGGAGGACCAGTGTCCGCCCCTTGAAGAGAACCTCAACTCTCCGGGACGTCCCAGGCCAGACCAGGAGGGAGCGCCCCTGAGCAACCGCTCCAAGGCTTCCTGGCTCAGCCATCAGCAGCAGTCCCGCCTCCGCCCACCCCACGGAGGTGAGTCACACCAGGCCTGCAGAACCCAGCACCCCAGAGTGCATGCAGTGGGGGAGGGGAAGATCTAACCAAAAGCTACCCCCTCGGTTAGACTCCAGCAGGCTCAGAGGGGGACTTCTGGGATCACTGGGACCAACCCTACTTGAATAAGAAACCCCTTTAAAACATCTTGGTCATTAACGTAGGCTTGGGAACTTCCAGTGATAGGGAGCTCATTTCTCCTTGAGGCAGCCTGTTCTACTTTGGGATAACCCTTATTGTTAGAAAGTTGTTTTTGTTTTCCTTAAATCAAGCCTCTCTGCAGTTTTGCACCCCCTGCTCCTAGTTCTGCGGTCGGGAGCCAAAATGAAGGACATAAAGCCTCTTCCAGCTAAACAACCCTTCAAATTTTCAAAGAAAGCTTTTGTGCCTTCCCTGGATCTTCCCTTCTCCAGCCTACACTTCCCCATTATCCTTTCATCCTTCAGACCTCATTACCTCTTTGCAAGCTCCACCTGTTTTTCTGTCCTGGTCACTGGAGGCTTTAAAAGTAATTAGCTTGTGGGGGCAGAGAACATAAATTATATTTTTGTCTTTGTAACCCCAGGGCCTATCATAGTGCCCAGCACTTTACAGACAATAACTAAAGGCTTGTTGCTTGCTTGATAGATTAACAAGCACCTCCATGCATGAGTTCACTTCCAATAATCCTACTCACAGTCCTATGAGATTCATAGGTGAGGGGGAAAGTCTCAGAAAGCAGGGTGTAGTGGAAAGCCCTCTAGACCAAAAAATCAGTAGACCTGGTTTATAGTACTGTTTCTTTCACCAACTAGCTGTGTGACCTTGGTCAAGTCACTTTTCATCTCCAAGCTTCATTTTAATAAGATAAGGGGAATGGACTGGATAGATTTGTAGGTTCCATCCAACTTTGAGGATAAACTCAAGGTCCACATGGCTAGTAAGTGGCAAAGTTCTGTCTTATCTACAGTTCCTAGTTGTTTTCTGTACCTTGCTGCTTTTCTCTGGTCTAAAAGGATAATTTTCTCCCAGACTTATCTATAGTCAAAGAACCAATCCATAAAATCTTCCCCCTTTTCTTCCAACACTAATGCGTTACCAGCAGTTATGATTTGTGAGCCTAGGGATGATTGAAAATCCTTCTTTTCACTATTGTAGTGAACCTTCAGCTCTCATCCCTCTCTGGTGATCTAAATGCAGTTAAAACTATAGGAATCTGGAATTTTGTTTTGGGGGCATCCTCTTAAATTTAATTATGACCTAAGTGGTAACTTTTCAGAATAAAATGCAAACAGAAGGGTAGTTTTGGAGATAGAAGGATGATAATAAGTAGAAGGATGATAAAAAATAAGTTTCACCCAGTGCCTTACATGTTTATCTCAACATCACAAGAAGATCAGTGGTATTATTAGCCCCATTTGACAGATGAGGAAACTGAGGTTAAAGGACTTGTCCCAGGTCACACAGCAAATGCAGTGTCTGGGGTGGGATTTGAACTCAAGGCTTTCTGACTCTAGGTCCCACACTTCATATAACTTCTTCACTACCCAACTGCCTGGAATTGCATCCACCATTGTTTTCATAGTCCTTCTCTTCTCTCCTTTTAGATACCAGCCACATGGAGAAGACCTGTGAGACTGGGTGCAAATGGGATATGGATGAAAAGGAATTCTATTGCATGAGTGAATTTGGTAACATGGTTGCTACCATTCAAATCCTGGTTAATCTTAAGGCTATTACAAACATCTAGGATTTCAGTGCAGAGCCCTACTAAGCTGGCACTTGGTAAAAGACTCTTATATTTCGTATTATCTTGCTTTTAGGCATTTACATAATTTATGTAATTGGCATTTACATCTAGCTTTAAAGTGTACAAAGTGAGGAGGCAGCATTTCCCTTCTTTTATAGAATAAGAAACTGAGGCATAGGGAAGTGAAATAGCTTGCCCAGGGTCACAGAACTAATTGAACAGTGTTAGAGGAAGTATTCAAACCTGAGTCTTCCTGACTCCAAGTCCAGCCCCATGCTTCTCCAAGGATGGGAAAGTGAATGCTTAAGTGAAGATAGCCCAAGATAGGCCAGTCTTCCAGCAGAACCAAGGGAGGCAACTACCAGATAGCTCAGGTCAGTTGAGGCCATTGATGGCAAGAAGAAATCAGCTTTGTGCTTTTTTTTTCCACCTTCAAACTTTTTTTTTTAATCTTGAAAGTAGCAGTGAATGGAATCGTCCATGATGTAGAAGTGCTTGGAGAAGGCATCCGGCTAGTCACTCTGCTGGTCAACAGTCATGGGCTGTACAAGACAAACCGCCTCTATATCACCCCAGATGGCTTCTTCTTCCAAGTTCATGTGCTGGTATTGGATTCCTCCAGCTGCAATAAGGCATATGCAGATTTTAAATTTGGTAATGAGGCTCTCCTAAAGGTGACTTTGTGTATATGTATGCCTTCCTTCAGTCATGTCCAACTCTTTGTGATCTCTTTTGGGGTTTTCTTGGCAAAGATACTAGAGTGGTTTCCCATTTCGTTCTCCAGCTCATTTCACAGATGAGGAAACTGAGGCAAATAGGGTTAGGTGACTTACCAAGGGTCACACAGCTAGTAAGTGTCTGAGGCCAGATTTGAATTCAGGAAGATGAGTCTTCCAGACTCCAGGGCCAGTGTCTTGTCTGCTGAGACACCTAACTGCCCAGGCCTAAATTCACATCAGGGTTTTAATACTCTGAAAGGGAAAATCTTCAGAATCTTCTTTCTCTTGTGTCCACTGAGAGCACATATAGGAATTCCCTTGACCTAAACCCACATATAGAACTTAGAAGGTTGCCCCAGAGAGGCTCAGTGACTTGCCGGTGGTCACATGGCTTCTAAGTTGGCAAGAGTTGGATTTGAATAACCTCATCTCCAAGTACTGAAAGCTATCAACCACACCATGTTTTCTCCCCTACTTTTTGGTTGCTGAAAAATGGGCAGTTTCTTCATAAAATGTAATATGCTTGAGAGTATGTGTCATTTAAAGCCCATCTGCACAGATGTTTCTTTTTTCACAGCTGGTAAATCCGCAGATGAAAAAACATCATTCCTAGCCAAAGGAAAATATATTAGGATGGTTTCAGAATTGAATTTTAAGCAAATCTTTTCTTTCTGAGGTCTTCACAGACTAGAGAATCTGACTGATATAGTACAAATCAGTCTTTCCCACCATCTTTCTCTCAGCTGACATCAGGCCTGACTCATTTATATTCTGGTTCTTTTTTAGGCAGCAGGTATATAGTAATGGGTCACATCTACCACAAGAGAAGGCAGCTCTCCACAGCTCTGCTGCAGGTGTTACAAGGACGTCTAAGGCCTGGAGATGGATTGCTCAGGAGCAGCAGCAGTTATGTGAAAAGATTTAACCGCAAAAGAGATGAGAAAATCCAAAGGGCAGCTCATACCAAGTGCATCTGAATCCCCTTCCAGAGCTTTTTGGAGACCTTGGCTCTGCTGGGATTCAGTGACTTGAAGAACATCTGCCTTCATTCAGCCTAGCCTTTCACTAGACTGGGCCCCCAGTGCTTCCTTGGGAACCCTTTGAGCTCAGCCTTCATAAGCCAATCAAGGGTTCCTTCCAGCCCTGCTAATGCTAAGGATGTTGTTGTTTCTGAATATAATAAATGCCTCTAGATTTTTTTTAAAGTTCAATTGCAGATATTCAAATATAGTACAAGGCTGTGATTCACAAATCTGTGATAATTGGCCTATTTGGTTCGTGGGTTACTGCTTCATACTCACTTCATTTTTTAGGGTTAATTATTTTTTAGTCTGTGTTCTGCTGCTTTAAATTAAGTATCATTATTGTCTAGGAAAGATAATTCAAAGAAAATATTTTCTTTTTATTGAACTCTATAAGTTTAACTATTTCTTGGTGTAATTTATCTAAATCACTTAAGCTTATCAAGTTTTCTATCTCAAACAACACTTAAAAATACACTTTTTGGACAGTGGGATCTCCCCTATGTTTTCATCGGTATGGGAAGCTCCCAGCATGGAGAGTCTCAATTGATGGGCAGTTCTATAGTCATCAAGAGTTTTCTGGGGCATTGAGAGGTTAAATTACTTACTCCTAGTTACAAAGACTGCATTTCAAAAGCAGGACCAGATCCCGGTTATTCCTGACTTCAAGGCTGATCCTCTAATCACTCTGCCATCCTGCTTCTCTAGTAATAAATATACTCACTTGAAGAAATATAAATATGAAACTTTTTTTGAGATTTAATACATCCCAAAATCAAGCAATCAAGTATTTCTTAATGGCCTGCCATGAGGCAGGAACTGTCCTAGGTTCTGGGGATAGAAATACAAAGAAATCAGTGCTCCAGGATAAGAATTTAAACTTCACCTTTGTTATTGTTGTTGAGATTACTGAAGGATTTACATAAAACAAAATTTTATCCACCTGAGCATTTCTGATAAGACAAATAGGTCAGGTTTATTTTCATACTTGTCTGCTTTTGATAATTAACATCTGTGCCAAACTGGCTTTCCAAAAGTAGTAAAATTAATTCTTTGTGTATTTGATATAATTTAAAAATTTTTTTAAATAAAGACTTAGTGTCATGTTTATGATTGTAAAATGGTAAATCTTTTCTAGTAGTCAGATTTGTTTCATATTCTCTGCATTCACCTTTTTTCCCCCTCTCTTGCTCCAACAGTCCTAGAAAGAATATTCATGAATGATAGCCCAGTTGCATAGATTTTAAAGTTTCAAATACTTTTGCATTAGTTAATTAATTGGTGAATCATTCAACAAGCATTTATTTACCTCCTGGGTGTGGAACACTGCATGTAATGTCAAACTTCCTCAATATGTTGGCTAGTTTTACTGAACTAGGTTTTTTCTCCTTATTCATTGTTATAAGGAATGCCTCTCTGGTAGAGGAAGAAGGGAATTAACTGGGAAATGAAGATGACATTAAAACAAAATGGAGCGATAAAATTTATTTTAATATAAAAATTATTGCCTAATGAGTAATGAAAGGAGATGCTCTTAAAAGGATTATTACTAACTTATTTGATCTTATAGAAACTCCAGATTTGTAAATATAGAATTTTTAATGTCAGTCTTTTGGAAGGCAATTTTTAAAAACTGCTATTCTCTCCCTCAACACATCACTCAAAAGCCTTCTGCCACTATAGCCTCTTTCACCACTATCTCACATGATGATGTGGAGCTTCCTTCTGCTAAGACTAACCTCTCTACATGCACAAATGATTCCATTCCTGCCAGCCTTCTCCAGCACATTGCCTCTCCTGACATCCCTGTTGTTCTTCAGTCATTTTAATCATGTCCGGCTCTTCACGACCCCATCTGGGATTTCCTTGGCAAAGATACTGGAGTGGTTTGCCATTTCCTTTACCAGTTCATTTTATAGATGAGGAAACTGAGTCAGCTAGTAATTGTCTGAGGCTGGATTTGAAATTAGATCATAAGTCTTATGTTGTTCTTTCTATTCCCTTCACTATTGCCAGTGCAGTTAGTGCCTAACTGCTCACCCAGAGAGGTCTTTGCTGCCAAATGGAGGAATTGAAATGAGTGAAGTTCCATCCAAATTGCTGTAGTGAATGTTTCCAGTTCCAATCATCATCCACGTCTGTGACCACAGCATAGGTGACACAAAGGCTCTGTCTTGGTCTCTTTTCTCACCTGTCCTAGTGATCTTAGCTCCTAGGGTTTACTTATGTCCATGATTCTCAAACACACACACACACACACACACACACACACACACACACGTTCAACCTTATTCTTTCTCCTGAATTCTTCCCTGGCAGCATCAAATGCCTGCCAACTGAAAGCCAAATAGACATCTCAAACTCTACAGTTCCAAACCAGAAATCATTAAATTTCCCCAAAAAACCAGTCTTTCCTCCAAACTTTCTTATTTTTGTTGTGTCCCACCATCCTTCTAATCACCCAGAATCGCAACCAGATTCACCTTTGACATTTCCCTTTCCCTTTTGATCCATTTCTAATCCGTTACCAAGTCCATTTAGTTTCCTCAGTATCTCTTAGTCTGTCCTCTTTTCATATGGCTGTCACCTACGTTCAGACCCTCATAAATGCTTGCCAGGACTTCCTAACTGATTCTCCTGCTCCCAGTCCCTCTCCAGTCCATCTTTTATGTAGCTGCTAAAATTGTCTTCCTAAAACACAGATCTGACCAGCTCACTCCTTTACTTAAGAATCTTCTGTGGCTTATGACTATCTCTAGGATAAAATGCAAATTCCCCAACTTGGTATTTAAAACTCTTTAATGTGCAGGGGGAGGGAGAGAAAATAAATATTTTGAAAAAAATTGAATTTTTAAAAATCCTTCAAAATCTGGCTTTATCACACTGTTCCAGACTGATTTAATATAACTCCCTTTTGCAAATGCTAAATGCTCCAGCCAAACGATTCTAGCATATTGGGACAGCACCAAAATGGCTTCCCAGCTTCCCCCTTTTGACAGGACAAGCTCCATTTCTGATGAAAGTTAAAGGTGCTCCTTCCACTTCTGGTTTCTAGGATGGTGATTGGTGGGGAGCAAAGTGTTGTCTCTTACTGCTTATTCCACATCTATGGTTTTGGAACTTTGAAGTTTAAAGAATGGTTAAATAGCATGGAAGCCACAAACAAGGATTTGGATAGACTCTGAGACATAATGGAGGATAGCAGGGTGTGGAGTGCTGTGGTCCGTGGGGTCATGAAGAATCTGACGTGACTGAGGAACTGAACAACAAGAAGATTCCCAGTAGTTGACATCCCATCTCTCACCGGTGTGCCAGTTCACAGGCCATAGTTAGGACCACAGATTTAGAGTTGGATCAGACCTCAGAGGCTGTCTAATCCAATTCCTCTTCTCACAGATGAGGAACTGAGGGCCAGAGATTTGAAGTAATTTGTCCAGGGTCTAGGATGAAATGTTCTACTACAAAAAAAATCACTCTTTAGAGTTTACCACGGTTTTTAAAAACAGCAATTTATTGCTTAAGAAAGTTCTTTTCATAACAAGTTTTAAAGGATTAGGTCTATATAAATATATATATATATATGAATAAATAGTACGGAAATACCATGATGTGATGAGATGCAAAATAATTTCATAACATTAAAAATGTAGGATTTTGGCACCAGCAAATGAATAAAACATGTAACACTTTAAAAATATGGTGAAATGACCTCAATGCAACGACTTTTATCTTATTTTAGGAAGCATAAGCTTTGTGTTCAAATTGAACAGTTTTCTTTAGTTTAAGTGACAACATCTGTATGAACAAACAAAAAAAGAATCTAATAATTATTAGATAAAATGAACCCCAGAAGAACCTGTACACCTGAGCCTGTAATAAGAAAGAGTTGCGATCCATAGCTATGTCTTCCACTTAGTTTTAGGGAGCTAAGAACTGGAAAGGGGCTTGCATACCAAGGTGAGGGTGTGGGCAGAGGGAATGATGTTAAACCTAGGGAAAGGCTTTTAAAAAAATTCTCAGGCAAACTCTAGATCTTGGAGGACGAAGCTAATGTGAATTAGTGCAAAATCTATTAACGTTTTTGTAAGACTGCATAAGCCAAACAGCAGATTTCATAACAGCTGTTAATATAATGTAGAAAAATGCAGTGTAAGCACAGATGATTGAAAGCAAGAGAAACTTGCATATTGATTTCACTTTCATTCTACCTTTCCTTCTCTAAAGAACACAAACACAAGCTATTCTAGACTTCTTAAGTAAGCAGTTTTTCATTCCTGTTTCCCACTATATGGACCTCAAGCATTCATTGATGCAGCATGTATGACACCCCTGTTGACTCTTTTGAAGTGATAAGAAATTGAGAATGACAAAAGACAGGGCCACCTTCTTGGGGAAAACAGTCATATTTAGTTTTTTTCCATTCTTTATTGCCCTTTTGGAGTCCCTTTCCACCCTACCAAAGCTTATGATCAGTACCACACAGTCAAAGACACTTCCATCTGTGGGAGAAAAATTATCTCCATTTATTTCATTTCATATACATCCATATTTTGAATTTTAATATAAAAAGAAAAAAATTAGAATCTGACAAATGTTTATAAACAAGATACCTTCAAATAGATTTCACTCATCTCAGTCTGATGCAGAGTAAATGACAATTGTACTGTTTCATTCAAGGCAACAGAGTCAGTAGTCCATGACCACTTAGCCCAACCTTTATGCAAGCTTAATTTTTATCTAACATGAACAATAAACTCATTGTTGATTTCCAGTTCTGTGTGTCTGTATGTGCGGACACATGCATGTGTACATAGCAGCTCCTTTCACTGAAAGAAAAGACATCTAGAGATCTCTTCTATTTTTACCTACAGGAATCATGATAAGAAAAAGAATGCATTACATGTAACTGGGGCTGGATTTTTTACAAAGAAAAATTAACTAATTGACAAATTCAGGTAGCAATAAAAGTGTCTTCCTCCCCCTTCCCCCCACAATAAATAAATAAATACAAAGTTGTCTGTGTGACTTTAAACCAGCTTCTTCCCTGAAGACCAGATGTGGCATTTCCATGGAGTTAAAACTTGACCCCATTTATCTTTATTCTTGCTTTCTTTTTCTCTCTTTCAATAAACAAAGTTTTCTGGCTTCTGCCACAACAGTAAAACAATTTGATCTTGACAAGAAAATGGTGCTGATTTTGTTTTCCTTTGTCTGCTGGACAAAATAGGCCAAGAATATAATTTGACTGTTGTGACCAATAAAAATGAAATGTAGGTCAAATCTTGTTAGGAGAACCTGACTAAAAACGTTTGGTATCTTAATTTCATTTAAACTTTTCAGATAACCAGATTCTTGCTGTGTTTTGCATTAGGTTAACATGCTGAACTCTAAGAAGCTGCAGACTGCAGTTTGTTGTTATGAGGCCTGCAGAATACAGAAAAAAGGGAACAATTAAGCACCCTTCATTTTGGAGAACAATGAGGTTCTAAGCTTATGCCAACCAAGATTAGTCAGCTGGAGGAGAAGCAGCCAATACTACAGAGATGATTATTTTTGACATTCAGAAATTTTTTTTTAGCCTACTGAATTAAAATTTTTCCCTGTACACCAAATATGATTTTTTCTAGAAAATCCTCAAAGATTTAAAAATATATTTTACTAATACAGATTATGAACTTTTTAGCTATAGGGTAAAAAGATATTTACTAAAGCATCACCACTGTGATGAAAACTAAATACAAGCTAATTTATACTGATTTGGGTTGTTGAGGATAGGGGAAATTTGAGATGTAAAAAGATAACATTTAACAATAATTAATCACATTTTTTCTAATAAAAACTCAATCTCCTTCCTAAACTTTACAAGTTTATTCACAACTGTATGATGAGAATATTATAAGGAACTTCTCATATAGAGAACTAAGAATATGCATTATGCGGCAGGCCTTTTTAATACAGTATTCCCAGAACTAATAACAATGTTCATAATACACTGTTCAGTGTAGCTGCTAGCAAATGATTGTTTATTGCTAAACACATCTAAAGATTTTTTAAAATTCTGTTAATTAACCTGAATTTTCTGAAGGCAAGGTTTGAATTAAGTAAATGACATGGTACAATGAACAAATGAGTGACCCTCAATATTCAGCTCTGATGCCAATTAAAAAGTCCAGACTAAAGATATCTCAATCTATAACAAAAAGAAAAAAGAACACGGATAGTGTAAATTGGCAGTTCTCAGACTTTTTGGTCTCAGGACCCCTTCATTGCCTTAAAAGTTACTGAAGACCTCAAAGAGCTTTTGTTTCTGTGGGTTATATTGATTGATATTATCATATTCAAAATTAAAATTGATTAAAGTTTTAAAATATTTATTAATTCATTAAAAATAATAATAAGCCCATACATGTTCACAGAAATAATATATTTTTATGAAAAAACTATTTTCCAAAACAAAAAAAGTAAAACGTGGCATTATTTTTACATATTTTTTGTAAATATCTTTAATGTCTGGCTTAATAAAAGACAGCTTCTCATATTTGCTTTTGCATTCCATCTGTTACCATGATATTTTAGGTATATGAAGAAAATCTGGCTTCACACAATCATATAGCTGGAAATAGGAGTATTTTAATAGGTAAATAAAGTCTTTGTATTAGCATAAAAAGGAGGGAGGTGGTGCAGTAGATAGATAGACTTCTGGGCCTGGAATCAGGAAGACCTAAATTCAAATCCAGCCTTAGATACTTATTAGCTGGGTGATGCTGAGCAAGTCAATTAACTGTTTGCCTCAGCTTCCTCATCTGTAAAATGAGCTGGAGAAAGAAACAGCAAATCACTCCAGTATTTTTGTCAAGAAAACCCCAAATGGGGTCATGAAGATTTGGACATGAATGAATGAAAAGACTACACAACAACGAAATTAGCACTAAAAGTTTTTACCTCCAGGACCCCACTAGAAGAGGCTCCTAGGAGTCGGAAAGCCATGCTTTGAGACACGCTGGTACAAATAAAGAGCTACAGCCAACAAAATGCAGTAATGAAAATAATGAATGAACACTCAATGCTGGATACCATAAATGAAAAAGGGGGAGAAGAGAACAACAGCAAAGGGCAGTTTGGAAAATCATTGAAATCCACAATTACAACAAAAATTTCAATGAAAGGAAACAAAGTCCTTTTCAATTTTAAAATCCTACGATTCCAAATATTGGCTGTTCTTTGCCTCCATTCTACTTTTGCTCTTCATCATATACAAAAATTAAAGCAACTCCCTCTAAAAACAGGGGTGAGGGAAGAGAAATGGCATTTATAATAATGCCTACTGTGCCAGCACTGTGTTGAGCACTTTACAAACATTATTTCATTTGACCCTCACAATAACCCTGGAGGGTAGGTGTTATTATTATTTCCAGTTTCCAGTTGAGAAAACTGAGGCAAAGAGAGGTGAAGAACCTGCCCAGGATCACACGGCCAGTGAGTGTCTGAGTGTGCTTGCAATAGGCTTTCACATTAAAATTTCTGTTACCAATCTGAACTTTCCCCAATTCTGCTATTTATGAATAGTTTTAAATACCAGAAGCCTAGAAAAATCATACACAACTGCTTTCTAGTGGAAATTATTTAAACTGCACTGAATAGGAATTAAGTCATAATAATGGAAGGAAAAGGCTTGTCCTGGATAGCATGACTGTAGCCCCATGATGATAAAGACGATGATGGGGGAGGGGACGGGACAGGGTGTGATGGTGAGAATAATAAGTTATATAGCACTTACCATGTGCCAGTCACTGTGCTGAGGGCTTTACAATTATCTTGTTTGATCCTCCCAACAACCCTGGGAGGTAGGTGTTACTATTTTCCCCATTTTACAAATGACGAAACTGAGGAAAATAGAGATTAAATGACTTATCTGGGGACACACTGGGCCCAGTGTCTGCATTTGAACTCGAGCCCAGAGCTCCATCCACTGTGTCACCTCGCTTTATTTACAGAAACAAAGCAATTTTTATATTGTGCATAAAAGTCAGGACTACATATTGAACCTTAGTCTTGTTAATGAAGGTTCAAAGACTTCGTAGTCTAATTTTTCCTTTTAAAAAAAATCCTGGAAAACTTTCCCCCAAATAACCAACTCCAAACTTCCTATGAGGTTTTCAGTTATTAAATAACAGTACAAAACTAAGCAGAATAAAAATTAAAGAGTAATAAAGGAGTAGCATTCAGAATACAATCCCGATTTGAAAACAAGTTGGTTTTACACGTAATTGAGGAAAAAAAGAAAATATTATTTAAAAAAATATATATAGCTTAAACACAAGCTTGTAATTTCCCAGCACTAAATCTACTTTCAACCAAAATTTGGTTACCTTGGGAGAACTTTAAAAGTTTTTAAAACTGAAACTCACAAAAATATCTTAGCCCATGGCTAGCTTATACACTACTGAAGGTATTCTAAAGAGTTGCTTTCATTTTGAGCATCAATAAATCAGAGATCTCAGAAACAGGCTTTTTATTTTACTCACCTGTTCCTCCAATCCTTTTATGTAACTCAAGTTTCAAGCCTGAGGTGTTTTTTTATCTGTTGCTTATGTGTAATTTGTTGAAGAGAATGATGATGAGGCTATATGCCTGGGAGAGGCAGGTACAAGAGGTTTGGAGAAAAGAGACATTCTTTGGTTCTACACTCTGTCCAGGAAGAAATATGTAGAAAGAGAAGAAAAACACTTTGCTTAAGTGATAGACAAGTAGAGGAGCTGGTGCCTCAACATGTGTCCTATTTCTAGCTTGCCTTCCTAGAAATTTCAGGGAATTTCCCATTGGGTGAGACTGGGGGCCTCCTCTTGGTTGACCTAAGATATCTCACTCCCAGTGGGAAAGCTCATTCACTATACATATTTTGGGGCATGTTCAAATCTATGTAACTTCTCCAATTCTGATTCACTATTTGCTCTGATAGTTGGTGTTTTTTTATATAAACAGTATTTAGTAGGAAGGAATCAAGTATTTGCGTATAATTTTGGGGTTCCCTCTTCCCTTTTAAGGGAAACTAGTTTTGTTGCTTTTCAACCTAAAAACAAAACAAAAAAAACATGTCCCTAGACCAGCAATACTTATAGAGGCAGACAGATATTATTTTAGACAGTACTCCTTCTCTGAGAGTCAGGAAAACAATGGTTCTCCTCCTCCCCTCAAGACAAGGATCAAAGCTTCCCTTGGATAGGGGCATGCAAGATTCTAGATATAGACAGATAGATCTATATCTAATTATCTATCTATCTATCTATTCCTCTCTTTGAGCAAAATTTAGATAACCTGTATGGGCACACAGTCAGCTAGGTGGTGCAGTGGATAGAGTGCTGGGGAAACCATGAGTTCAAATTTGTCACACACTAGCTGTATCTTGGACAACTCACTTAACCCTATTTACCTCAGCTTTCTTATCTGTAAAATGAGCTGGAGAAGGAAATGGCAAACCATTCTAGTATCTTGCCAAGAAAACCCCAAAGGGTCACAAAGAGTTGGATTCCACTGAAAAAAAGTGACTAAACAACAACAAAAATGTGGATATGTACCTCTTACATGGATAGCACATACCACTTAACATTTCATTTCTGTGCAAAGAATGATTTAAGAACTTCAGCACAAATTATGATTTTTGCCTTCTTTGTTGTAGACACAGTATTATGTTCCTTCGGTTAACTTCAATCTTTTTTTTAAGGTTGTCTTGTTCTCACTGGTTCTCTTCCCCAAAACCCTGATCCTTTTCTCTTATTTGTTATCTCTTTCCCTTTCAGATTTTGCTTATTAGCTCCTCTTTCTCTCGTGATTTTATCTGGTCATATATTTCTTCCCCTTTTTTGTCCTCTCAGAAAGTCAAGTAGATTCTCCCTGCATCCTCCCCTTCAAATACTCCTGTTCATTAGTTTTTTGAATTACACTTTGGGGAGCCTTTTCCACTCTCTTCATTATCCATCTTTTTCTCTTTCTGTCTTGCATACCACATGCTCCTCTCTAATCCCCTTCTCCCCTTCTTAACTTTTATGTATCCTCCATGCTATAAGGTAGCCTCACGAAACCAAAAAACAAAACAAAACACCCTGATTCACCTGGAGGCAACATGTCACCGTGTTCTGTCCATAATTCCTCCAATCTGTCTCTTCTCTGTTACCCCTACCACATTTCCACCTTCATCCCTGACTCCTTCTGTAATATTTAGAAAGAAGTCTCTTACTGGTTTCTCTGCTGTCACTATTGCTGTTGCTGTCCTTGCCTACTGAATTTTGGACTGACTTCTCTCCACCATGTTCCAGGAAGTTCCTTAGTGAGATAATCTCATCACCCTGTAACATCTCATCAACCTTGGCACCCCCACTTATTGCTACCTCTACCTGATTGGAAGATGGATCCTTGAACTCCAAACCTCCACTAACATCTCATTTCTCACCTGACAGCACTACTCTGTGACATCTCTGAATTACTTCTCCACCAGGCCCCTTGGGGAACTCCTTCCTCTCCCTTTTTTCTTATTTGTGTCCTCAGCTCTTAGTAAAGTGCCTGGCACATACTAGGTGCTCGATATATGTTTACTGAATTGAACTGAATTGCTTTCCAAGGACTAGAACTTAGTTCATCACCAGAAGTCAGATGATTTGGTGATGAATTATTTGATGGGTTGCCATGGCTAAAGAAAAATACAGACTTGTCACCAGACCTATGGTCTTGAGAGTGACAATGTGGTAGCAAAGCGGTCAGCAAGTGCTACAAAATCACAGCAGTTTCAGAAGCCAAGACTTTCACCCCTTACCCCAAAAGAATTTGGGTCTCATTTGTTTGAGGGGGGAAAGATGAGGTTGAGACCTAGACCCCAAAAAGGAAAAACCCTGGACTTTCCCACTTGGCCAAATCTCTGGCTTTAGACTGAGGCCATAATCCCATCAACTGGCCTTTCACTGTGGCTACCATCCAATCTCTCAATTCTGTTACCCCTAACCTAGCCTAGCCCTCCATTGTTTTACCTCCCTATGGCCCCATGCCACTTCCCACCCTTAATCCTATCTAGGCTCCATTCTCCCTTGGCCACTGGATCCAGGTCCCAGGAGTTCTATTACTTCAGACTACTTGGCCACTCCTGGATCCCTCCCATAGGCTTTCTGCATATAAGGTCCATCTTGTCCCCTTTAACATGCTTAGATTTTTAAAATCTAGCCAGTAGCCTACTAATGTTTAGACTCTTATAAGAGTCTGCCCAACACCACGGATGTTCTAATAAACTTTGTCTTTGGCTGGAAACATAACATAAAATAAAATGGGGATGATAATAATAGCACCTACTTTCAAGGGTCTTTAGAGGATCAGACGAGATAATTGTAAAACACCTGGCACAAAGTAACTGCTACATAAATTTTGATTATTTTTTCAAACTTCTAAATAGCTACTAATTTCTCACAACCATTTAAAGTCATGAAATGACTCCAATGGGCCTCGAAAAGAAAATACTTAAAGTAAGGGTCCTCTATTCTCAGAAACATGGGAAACAGCTTCTAAACTTGAAAAATGTAGACCTTCCTTGCCAATGATTCTACCTAAAGGAGCACTGAACGAAAGGGTGACCCTTCCTTAACTCCCCCTTTTTCTGGGGGAATGGGGGAGGGGAGGTAGGAGGAAACCGATACAGTTTTTAAACTCTACCCAGGGGCTGTTGCAAAATTAAACGTCGCTTTAAACCTCATCTCCAGCATTCACTATGAAGCAAAATCGATTTTGAAAGGGGAGGGGAAAGAGAAAGAAATACATTTTAGAGAACTTGTAAATGTATACTATATGCAAAGAGTACCCTTTTAAACTGAGAAAGAGAACAACCAATTCAATTGATAACTGAAAGGCCAACCAATCTAATTTTATGCAAGGAATAAACTTCTAAATTCAGAAATGAAAAACAAACCTGGCATACACAAAGAACACCCTTCTCTCAAACCGGCAGGTTAAACAAACACTCCTCCCTTATCATTTCATGCCTCCCAAAAACCTAATAATAATAACCTTGGAACAGGACTCGGACCTACAGCCCGCAGCTCGGGTAACTAAGGACTTTCCCATCACGCCACTGACACCCAATAATACGACAGCCTGCACGCCGGCCTGGTGTCGACTTCGGTTGCACAGTCGTCCACGCCTCTCGACGGTCTCTGTTTCCGTTGGTTGGCTCGCTGCGGGATCTCGCGACACTTCACTAGGGCGGAAGCGCCTCAGCGGAAGGGGCGCATTTGGCGCCCACTCAGCACTAGAACTACAAGGACCATCATCCTCCTGTGATGCCAGTTTCTTCCGGGCTCCCGGATAGGATTCCAACGAACTGCTCCTTCTTTCTTCCTGTGTCTGTAAAAGCCAGGGCTTGGCCAAGGGGACCTCTAAGGTCTCTTCCAGCGTTAAAATAACGCCCTCTCCCTTGTTTCTAAAATCCCAGGCGGCCAGCTTGGGTCCCTTCCTTAACTCTGCCACTGTCCCCTGGGCTCGCCATGGAGTTAATTACATCGATGCCATAGACTAGGCCTCCCTCCCTCTGGGCCAGACTACACCTGGATCACACCTTCTGGTGCCCCTTATGCCCCTCTGGAACTATTTTTTATTGATTTTAGTCACTCAGTTTTAGATCTTGGCAAATTTACCTAATGCTGTGTATCTTGCCACCCTCGGACAATGTTTCAAACCCCTCTACCATAAAACCAACGTGCCTGGCACATTGTAATCAATGATTATCTTCTCAGCCATTTTGCCATCTCTTCTGCTTGCCTCCCTCCTCCAACCCCAAACTCCTTTCCCACCTTTTTCTCTGGAAACAGTAATCAAATCAATATTTCTATTGCTACTTGAAAGTGTGTGATAATCCATTGCCTTATGCCTTCTCTGACAATCCTTGTGATTTCTCAGACCCTAACTCTCTTCCCTGACTCCAGGAGTGTTGTTTCCCCCAATTAGAATGGAAGTGCCTTGAGGGCAGAGACTGTCACACTTTTGTATTTACATTTCCAGTGTCTGGCATATTGTAGACACTTAAAAAACAGTTTTTCATTCATTCACTCTCTTTCACCTTGTTGACTATGGTTTTTACATCATGTTAATTTCCAAGTATGTCTCTCCTTGACTCTCTTTCCCCAGCAAGCCTCTTGTAACCATGATTAAAAAAAGAAAAAGAAGTGCAGAAAACCCAGCATATTCAGAATCTGACAATGCATGCAATATTCCATACTCACAGTCCCACACCTTTCCAATCAAAGGAGGTAGGTCCATTCTTTAACTCTTCTTGGTTACTATAATAACACATCATTCAGTTTTGTTGTTTACACTGTTGTAGTCATTATTCCTAATTCTGCTTATTTCACTGTGCATCAATTCATATAAGCCTTCCCATGTTTCTCTGAATTTTTATTACTGGCCTTTTCTTACATTGCTGTAAGAAAGCCCATCCCATCCATGTTTTCTTATTGACTTTTAGCAGTCCATCACATACACCCTCTGAATTTCCCCCACTAGATGATAGAATCAAATGCTGGATCATCTAATTCATTCCTCATTTTACAGATGAGTAAACTGAGGCCCAGAGAGACTGAGCAATTTGGATAATGTGACACAAGTAGTAAAAAGAACTAGGATTCAAATTCAGGTTACTTGACTTCAAATCCAGGTGTCACTGTTTTCCCTAAACCAACTGGAGAAAGTATTCCACTCAATGATAGGGCAAAAGAGACAAGGTTCACTCCATCTTTAAGACTGCGTACATGACTGATTTGTACAATAACCCATTAGATTAACCAGGTATGTATCAAATTGAATCATTAAACCAACTAAAGAACTCCCATTAATGTAGGTAGTCTTATTATTTCTATCGCATGCAATTGACCCCAGTCATCTTGAGGGCAAAGATTCTTTTATGCCTAACAGCTTTACGTTGGGATGGAGAATAGTTTTTAGGAAAATAAGAAAAGGAAAACTTGGAACCCTATTTCCAGCAGGATGGAATGTGAGGATGTTGCCTCCTTTCCACAAAGACAGGCTCCTAAATGTCTCAGAGGATTGAGACAACGGTCTAGATTTAATTTAGGCCTTTAGTTTAGGTACACGTGGTATTAACTGTCTCTAAAGTACATTTGAACTCTCAGATGACAAAGTTGGAATGTCATGTGTGAGGAACAGAAAAAAGAGAAGGAACGTGTAATAAGACTGTTAAGAGAGGCTGGAGCCAAGTTGTAAAGGGCTTTCTATAGCAAACAGAGAAATTTGTATTTGATCTCAGAGGTAAGAGGGGAGTTGAGTTGAACAAGGGAGAAACCTGGTCAGACACATACTTTAGGAATTTCATTTTGGCAAATGTGTGGAGGATAGACTGGAGAGATGAGAGATCTGAGACCAATTTCAATAGTCCAAGCAAGAGGTGAGGAGGGTCTGAAGCAGACAGGTTGTATGAATGGAGAGAAGGGGAATGTGAGAGCTCCTGTGGAAGTAGAATTCACAAAAATAGTGGGAGTATGAAGTAAATGAGAGGGAAGAAAGAAACATAACACACAGGTTAGATTAGATTGAGTCTGTAAACCTGAGTGACTGAAGGAATCTGGTGCTCTTGAAAAAAATAGGGACATTTGGAAGAGGGATAGATTTAGGTGGGTAATTTCTTTTTGAATGTATTACTGAGTTTAAGATGCTGGAGTAAGTCTAACAAGCAGTTGGCGATGTAAAACTGGAAATTAGAAGAGCGATTAGGGCTGGACATATAGATCTAGGAATCATCTGCACAGCAATTACAATCTGATGAGGTCACCAGGTAATAAAGTAATATAGAGATATAATAATGTATATTAATATAATAACAATATTATATATAATATAATAAAACCATTGAGAAGCAAACAACAATATAATATAATGTGATGTATAGTATAATAATAAAATAATATAGAGAAAGGGGCTTAGGGAAGAGCCTCAGGGTATGATCAAAATTAAGTGGAATATGGATGATCATCCATCCAAGAAGACTGAGGAGTAGTCAGTGTGTGAATGACACAATACAAGCAATCCAGCCTATCTGAAGCACGCTGAGACACAGGCATGTGTTAGGCACGTCCAAACACCACCCTTGACCACCATCTCCCTTCAGACCAGGATGGAGTCGACCTAGACATGGGGGTAAGAGCCTTAGGAAAGGGAAAGCAAAGGAATAACTATTTATTAAGGGCCTACTGTGTGCCAGGCACTGTAGATAAAAAGAAAAGCAAAAATAGTTCCTGCTCTCACGGAGCTTATAGTCTAATGGGGAAGATATTATACAATTATTTACATACAAGACATATAAAGGATAACTTGGAAATGATCCCAAAATGAAAATAATACCGTTTAGCAGAAAGACTGGAACTGGATATAAAGATCTGGAAGTCATCTGTATATGATAAGTGAACTCTTGAGAGGTGATAAAATCACCTTGTAATAGAAGGTAGAAAGAAAAGAGACGGGGCCCAGGACAGAGGCTTGGCGAATCCTCAAAATGAGGTGAAGAGATGCATGATGATACAGTAGAGAAGACTGAAAAGGAACGGTCAGATAGGTAAGGTTTTGTGTGGATGAAATGGCAGGGGCTGGAATGGGGACTGCAGGGCAGATAATAATGCCATTGAGAAGCAATCAATCAAACAACAAATAAGCATTTTAGTATACTCTTGCTATGTGCTAGGCATTAAGTTCTGGGAATATAGAAACATAAGAAATTTGGGAGAGTGATTTAGGGTGCTGTGGATGACAAAAGCAAAGATTAGAGAAAATAGTATAAATGGAATACATAGATTTGAAATCTGGATTTTTTTTTTCAGGAATATTCAGCTACCCCTCAGTTAAGAAGAGAAATCATCTAATCGTCATCTATGCTGCATTCAAGACTACACATCGTTATTTCCTGGGGAAATGGGGAAGGTGATATAGATACTCTTGGCTGGCAGAGGGTATAGGAAAAATGAAGCAAGGTTTCAAGCATTAGGCAGGCAGCCAGGACAGAAGCAATCCAGAACCTTGATCATGGGATTCTTAAGGGGAACAGAAAAGCACCCACTGCCCTGAGGAGGGGCAGCCAACCAGAGTTCTGAGACCACTGAATCTTACTGATGCTCTGAGCACAGATAAAAGTAAAAGCCAGTAGAAACAAACCAGCAAAACAAAGTTAGGACCAAACAGAGCCTGACCATTCCATCTAAGAATATGGGAGTTTGCAGAACCTGATCCTTGTACTAAGTCACAATTTAGGAAATAAGGCTGGAAAAATTAATAAATACTGATGATAGAGAATTATGATGGAGCCAAGGATGTTTAGGACCTAAACCTCAAAGAGAATAATTCCATATCATCTACATGTGAAGGCCTCAAAGCAAATCAAAGATTTGCCATGTGCTCTTCTGAAATTTCTGGAAGAAATCAACCAAGAACTTTTCTTCCAAATGATTTTTATATGAATTTATAATCTATCCCTCTCACTATAACCACCTTTTATTAAACAAACAAAACCCCTCATCGTAACAATTAACAATTCAGCAAAACAAATTCTCACATTGGCCATGCCCCAAAAATGTATGTTTTCCTATGCAAGTTAAGTTCATAACCTCTCTGCTGTGTCATTCAATCCTCTGGACTGCTGGTTTATTTTTGCATTGACTAGAATTCTAAAGTCTTTCAAAGTTGCTTTTCTCTACCATATTGATGTCATTATATAATTTATTCTCTTAGTTCTGCTCACTTTGTATCACTTCATAGAGGTCTCCCTAATTTCCTCTGAAACTTTCTTTTATTATTTGTTATGGCATAGTAATATTCTGCTACCTTACTATATCACACTTGGTTTACCCATTCCCCAAAAAGACAGTTGCTGAGTTTCCAATAGGAACCACAACTTTGAAAAGAGCTCATATAAATATTTTTGTGCATATAGGTTCTTTTCCTCTTTGATCTCTCTGAGGTATTAGCTTAATAGTGGTATAGCTGGGTCAAGGGGTATACACAATAACATTTTGGGCATAGTTCCAAATTGCTTTCTAGAATGGCTGGTCCCCTTCACACCTCCAACAATAGTACACTAGTGTGCCTACTTTTTTGGAAGCTTCCTCCATTTGTCATTTTCCTTTTTTCTCATCTTTGAAAGTCTGCTAGGTATGAAGTGAAACCTCACTTTCTTAAATTCTCAAATTCTCTATAAATTCTCAAATTCTATAATTTTAGTGATATACAGCAAATGTTTATATTGTTGTCAGTAGTTGGATTTCTGCCCTTTAAAACTGCCTATTCACCTTTTGACCATTTTTTCCTGAGACATGGTTTTATAGATTTGTATGAATTCCACGTATAGCTAGGATTTGAGACTTTTATCAGAGAAATATGCTGCAAAGTTTTTTTCTCATTTACATTTCTCTTCTAATTTTAACTATATTAGTTCTATTTGCACCAAAACTGTCCATTTTATCTTGAGTGATCTTTTCTATTGCTTGTTTACTCATGAACTCTTCATATATCTGAAAGGCAATTTCTTCCTTGCTTCTCTAATTTCTTTATGATTTGACCAAATTTTACATTTAGATCATGTATCCATTCGGAGTGTTATCTTGGTATATGGTATGTGGTACGGATTCCAACCTAATTTCCATCATACTGCTATCTAGTTTTACTAGCAATTCTTGTCAAAGTGATTCTAAAGCAAAAGTTTAAAAAATGATCATATAAAATAACTTTAGAGTTTAGAATGGAAAAAGAAATGGGAGCTCTAGAGAAAAGTATTGTTAATGGGACAGTTTAATACAAGAAGTATTAAATCTTACTCAATAACAAAATCCCTGAAAATTAATTTGATCAGACACCAGTGACTCCATGAGACAACAAATGAATACCAGAAGTTAATTAAAAGACTGTAAAAATATCCAACATCTGTCTGCCTCATTTT